ACTGTGATGGACACTGCTAGATTGGGGCTGGTGATAAACATTTTGGTCATAGGTTTCCTGAGGGAAGGTGAAGGTTGAGTAGCTGAGGAGCAGAGCGCCCCACCAGGCCACAGGTCCAAATTGAGGAGCCACCTCACCAGACTAGCATATCTCAATTCTATGTGCACCACTGGTGGGATTAGAGGCCTCAGGTGGGGAGGTTTTGGGCACCTCTGGAGATGGGTGAAGGGACTATGCTATTGTTTCACTATTGCTGTTAAATTCCTTTAAGTCCCCCATCCCCTTTTGGCCCATTGATCTGTACTCATTCCCTTGCCTAGTATTCTTTTATATAAATCGTCTCAGAACTCCTATATGAGTTTGTAGCGGGGTGGTCATTCGCCCCTGGCCTGAAAGGGTTAAAAGCCAGTCCTTGGAGAGGGCTGGGGCTGGGAGCCTTAGGCTGGGCTGATTGGGAGGCAGCCTCAGCTGTGGCCACGCCCCAAACAGACCCAGCTGGCCCTATAAAAGCCAGGAGCAGACACACACTGTCTCTCTGGCTGTAGAGAGAGATGGGCCTGGCTGCTGGGGAGCTAGAGAAAGTACTTGGAGTGGAGCAGGGCTGGGGGAAGGCCAAGGGAGTTGGGGAGCTCCAGCCTGGAAACCCCCCAGGCTGTGGCCTAGTATAAGGCCAAATAGGTACTGGGGTTGCAGGGGGCAGCCCAAGGCTAGGCAGAGGCAGCAGGTCCAAGCCCCTCCTTGCCTGTGATGAGTGGCTTGTAAACTGCAGTCTGCCCCCGTGAATGGGGGCTAGATGGTGGCTGGCAGTAGCCATGTACTGAGGTGAAGTGGGGATAGTGGGTGGGGAGACCCAGAGACTGGGTGTACTGCCTGGGGGTGGGGGGCAGCACCCAATGAAAGGGGCACCAGGTCTGGGAGGAACATGGGGGGCCAGGAGCAGTGAGTGGCAAGACATCAGCCTGCAGAGGGTGCTCCGGGGCTGGCGAGCTAATTCCCAGAAGGTACCAGCAGGAGGCGCCACAGGGGTGAGTCACGCCCCGTTACACTGGTGCGAGAGAATGCGAGCATAGGTGGTCCGCCCCTGACATAAGGGGCAGAGCAGGACTGGGACTATTGCCTGAGAGAAGCAAGGGGATAATGGAGCCGGGTTATGCAGAGGTGTTTTTCGCGGAGGGTTCCTGTGCCATTCCAGGCTGGGCTCCAGGGCTGGGTCCCCTGAGGAAAGGGGCAGTCTGACAGCTGGAGAGACTCAGTAGCGGCACTGTGAGGCACAATGGGCCTTACAGGAACAGTTGGGGCGGCTAGCAGAGGAGCAGTGGGCCCTGGGGAAACTCCTGTGGCGGGAGTTCCCAAAAGACGTCCGAGACTGGTGGGAGAAGCCCTGTGCTGGGGCCAGGAGGCCTGGGGGAGAGCGCCGGGCGTGTTACACCTGTGGGCGGTGCAGACATGTACAGGTGAATTGTCCCTGCTGGGATAGGGGCAGGGAGCCTCACCCAGGACGGGGAAAGGGACAAGCCCCTATGAGAGGCCACCTGGCGAGGGAAGTCAGCGGGCGAAGGTGTTGGGCCTGTGGGCGGTGGGGGCACCTATGGAGTGCCCTACCCCGAGGAGCACGGCCCAGGGTAGCCCAGGAAGGGCTGGCCCTGAGAAGGACCAACAGAGGAAGACGGGGCCCAAGGCAGCAAAGGGGCGGTGAGTCTGCTTTGGCTGCCATCAATGGGGCTGCATAAAGAGGAACTGCCCCCTCGGAGGAGGGCAAACTCCGGTGGAGGGGCCTGAGGATCCAAAGGGGTCAAGGACCGGCCAGGTAGCTGCTGCAGAGAGGGCAGTAGCCCTGCCTGGGGAGCCACCAATGGGGGATGGCAGACAAGGAGACTGGGACAGAGTGGTCCCCACAAGAGGCCGGAACCCAGGCTGTAGTGGAGCAGGTCGCAGTAGGCACCCAGCCCCGAAGGAAGAGGGCCCGGGAGAGTCTGGCCTGCGTGCGTGGCTGGAGGCTGCAGAACAGGCCCGCCGCGAGGCCGAAGCGAGGGCCCTGGACCTCGCTAAGGAGTATGCCGCCGTAGTGGACAAGGAGGCCCGCTTGCGAAAGCAGCTGGAGGAGTCTGAAAGGAAACGAGTGGCTCTGGAGGCACGTGGGCGACTGGTCCAGCCAGGAGACCCTCTCTACTCCCAGGGGTGGTGATCTTGAGGGGGCGGTGTAGTGGGGTGGTCACCTGCTCCTGGCCTGAAAGGGTTAAAAGCCAGCCCTTGGAGAGGGCTGGGGCTGGGAGCCTTAGGCTAGGCTGATTGGGAGGCAGCCTCAGCTGTGGCCATGCCCCAAACAGACCCAGCTGGCCCTATAAAAGCCAGGAGCAGACACTGTCTCTCTGGCTGTAGAGAGAGATGGGCCTGGCTGCTGGGGAGCTAGAGAAGGTACCAGGAGCACCCAAAGAAAAGGGCACCGGGTCCGGGAGGGACACGGGGGGCCAGGAGCAGCGAGTGGCAAGACATCGGCCTGCAGAGGGCGCTCTGGGGCTGGCGAGCTAATTCCCAGAAGGTACCAGCAGGAGATGCTGCAGGGGTGAGTCATGCCCCGTTACAGAGCTATTGGGTTTTTGTATCAGGGGCCTCCAGCTCCATGTAAACAAAGGGGGTCTATGCCCAATCTGAAAAAAGGTACAGGCATGTGCTACTTTAGGACATCTAGCAGCACCTGTGTCCAGCACAAAAAGAGGGGGTGGTACAGAAGATTTTTTTATATATATTTTATTAAATACAGTACACTCCACTAGAATGATTTTCTTACCCCCACCCATTGCATATGGCATGCTTTTTCCCATTCCATGTACTCAGTATACTAGTATAGTGTACTATACTCACTGTACTAGTATAGTTGAAGTGGTACAACCCTTCCTAATGTGGATGCAGTAATATCTGTATAAAGGTGATTCCTGTATGTGCACATCCTGCTGCCCGCAGATGTACCTCCACAGGAACAGAGGCAGTTGGGGAGTTTATAATCCCTATCCCCGTCCCTGCAAAGAACGGGGAGTTTGCAGAGGCTCCTGTGGAACATGGGATGATGTTTTTGTGCTGCCTCCACTCATGCTGGGACTCCCTCAGGGCAGCAGCCTGGGGAAAGTTGATAATTTTTGGACCCAGCTACCCCAATTCACATCCTCTACTGTACTGGAAATCACAACATGAATTTACTACGTTTAAAGATCAAACATGTTCCAAAGGAGGAAACACTAATGTACAAATGAAATTTACAGCTCGTGTTCAGTATATGGAGACAGTAAATGAAGTTCGTGTTCTCTATTGCAGAGAGAGTCTTGAGATTAGGCCCCTGCATAGCAACGGTGTTACTCACTGTATATCAGATTAACAGACAAAATACTGGGTAATGGGATTGTGTACAGGACTAGGAGTGTGAAGCAGGAAGCCTTTTCCCCAGGTCATTAGTGTGAGGAGAAGTCATAACCCACTGTATGAAGGCTTATAAGCAACGTGTTGGGCTCTCAGTCCAATTCCTGTGAACACATTATCAAAATTGGCACCCTTCTTGAAAGTCTCACAAAGAGAAGCTAGAGACTAAATAAATGATCTCTCTAGAGCTAATAGTGACCCTCTCAGGACTGGGGTGAAGTGTGCCATGGGCGTTTAGTCTGCTACATTATCCCTACGTTGTATCTGTCCTGGACACCTATGTCAATGAAGTATCTTTGACAAACATTATATATGTATAACTACATGCAACATAACAGAACACACCATTCCAAGCTCTGAAAGATCATCCTGATTTATTGAAAAATATTTAAAGCATTAATGATCATCATGCACTGTTGACTACTGCTGTCCAAACCACTTCACACACTTTCAGAGACTTCCTTTTTAAAGAAATGTAAAGCAACTGCCAATACCAGGAGTATAGAGCATAGGGCTCTGTTATGAGCCACAACTAGGATATTAATCAAAAAAAGTACCGGAACTTATAAATGCAAGGGACTTCCTGAATCTCAATAAGGAGTAAAAAACCCCCAAACTATGGCTTTTTTCTAGTTTATTTACAAAGAATTCTCCACTAAGAGTTTAACATTTAATATTTTCTATATCAAATAGAGGAGGAAGCCAAAGGAGAAAGGATGGCTCTGTGGTTAGGATTACAGAAGGGGACTCTGGAGACCTTGGGTTTAATTCCTGCTCTGCCACAGAAATCCTATGATCTCCTAGCTCTTCAGTGAAGTGGCTGATTATGGTTCGAGTTCTAGTGAAAATGTAGGCACAGTATACTTGAATTACAGAATTGTTACCTTTGGCCCCTCCTCTGCCAGAACTACATATTTGAGCCTTGTTTTCCAGCGGTTATCAGTGCAAAAATAAATCATTACATACATCTTCCACCCTTTTCACTGCAATTCATAACAAGTAATGGTTACAGAAAGCACTGTTTTCTTTTAATCTGTTTGCTTCTTCCAGCCATTTGCAAGGTCAAACAATAAGTAATAATTCTCATCAGTACTTTGTATTTTAGACATAAAGGGCCTTAGTGTAGTTTTACATCAGTGTAACTCCACTGAAGTCCAGAATAATGCAATAGTGAATCAGACCCAGAATGTGTGACTCCAATTGGCGCTGAAAGCATGCAGTGTCAGCATGATTCTTCTTGGAGTAACATTAGGAAGAAAACACGTCAGTTTACTTAGTTCTGAAAAATATGGCTAACTTATGATTAAAGCACAAGAGAAAATAGCTAGGTGTCTTTGGTTCCTGTGCTGCCAGTTTTAAACTGTCACTGTGTTAGCAAGAACACCACTAAAAGGTTTGGAAAGATCTACAGTAGAACCTCAGAGTTATGAACAGACCAGTCAACCACACCCCTCATTTGGAACCGGAAGTACACAATCAGGCAGCAGCAGAGACCAAAAAAAAAAGCAAAAAAAAAGCACAGTACAGTACTGTGTTAAACTACTAAAAAAAATAAAGGGAAAGCAGCATTTTTCTTCTGCATAGTAAAGCTTCAAAGCTGTATTAAGTCAATGTTCAGTTATAAACTTTTGAAAGAACCATAATGTTTTGTTCAGAGTTATAAACATTTCAAAGTTACGAACAACCTTCAGTCCCAAGTGTTTGTAACTCAGGTTCAACTGTATTTGATTTTCAAATTGATTTTAATATTTTATTCAGGGGCAGGTGCTTATCTTTTGAACTTTCAGGCTGCTGACATGCAAAGTGGGTTAATTTGTCTTTTAAACATATCAATAAATCTACATGGATTTAAAATATTTCCTCGAGGCAAAGGCACATTACTGTTTTCTGACAGTATTACCACATTGCATGAAGCCAGCAGGATAGCAAAGGGAATGTAAGCGTGAAAGAAATAACACTGTTTACATCAAAAATAGATATTAATCCAAACCAGTAGTCATTATTGGCATTTTTAAAGGCATTATAAATAAAGATGTGGTGCTATTTCCAAGACAACACCACACATTCCAAGAGAGGCATTTAGCAAGATTTTAACCCCACACACCCCAGGCAGCTTTACAGATATGTGCTCATCTCGTTAATGATTTCTTTATACATGCGATGGGGTGCGTCGAGACCCCAGATGAAATCCAGATGTTCCCATTCAGGAATGTGTTTGTGGTAAACCAGATTAGTGACTTGAGTGAGCAATATGCCAATATCCTTCGAGTCTGCAAGCCAGTCATGTCCACCAGTCCACAGTGCAGTTGGCACGGTCATATCTTTTACTTTGTAGAATGGAGGGGTAGACTATGGGTGGAGGGGGGAGAAAGATTACAATCTTTTAAAAATGAAAGCATACACACACACACACACACACATATTATATATATATAAATTAAATAAATAAATAAAAAGACAACTCTGGCTTAGGAAGAGCCAATCTGCTAAGGGGTTTGTCTAGCAGTACTGCAATGTACTAGCAAATGCAAGAGGATAGAAGTCAGAATCCTAGCCCTTCCCTTTCTTTGCTCTGGAGCGGCAGTCGCTGGGGAGCAGCAATCAATTCAAGAGAAGCCCTGACTAACTCCATGTTAAAGCCTGCTCGGTAGGAAGAATGAGGTTTTTGGACATTGCAAGGTAATGTTGGATGAGTTGTGTGTGCAAAGAGTCTACCATGTAAAATTTAAATCCCAAAACTGCTTTTACAGGTCACTATTACACTGAAAGTAAAATTACACCTACCAATGAGCATGCATGTTTCTAGCCTGTATTACACTGCTTAAACAAGGATTACTGCAAGAGATTACAGCCACAGTAAAGCAAAAGAAGGGTAAACTGTTAACATTATGCACAGAGATCTAGAGAAGAATTTGGTATCCAAATGAAGCTGCAGGGGGGCTTTAAGTAGGCTGAAGTTTGGCCAGGGCAGCATAATTAACCCTATACAATTCTAATGATCTCACAGCACTTCTCACTAATGATTTGCTCAGCTTTAGATAAGTGATTTTTCAACTGAAGGGCCATACCAAAAAATCTGGGGGGGGGGAATTGGTTTATTTCTAACTAAAGATTTTGTTTTACGTTTTTGCTAAAGTGAAAGACATTTAAAAACAAAATTGTTTCAGACTAAAACACACCCTAAAACACTAAAATTAAATTTTTGTATTTTTTTGTTTCGTCCTATTTTTTTAAATATGTAGATATATTTCAAAACCAAAAGTCAAAACTTTTCAGAATGGTTAAAATGAACAGCTTTGACATTTTCCAAATATATTCTCTCCTTTTGACTGAAAATATTTCCAAATTTGTGAATACTTTCAGTGCCCCTTACATGCATTTTTTTTTTTTTTTGGTTAATTCACTATTCACTGAAAAACCTGCACCCAACTCAGGTCTTAACTGATTTACTGCACCTCTTGCAACAAAGTATCACTCCATGTCATATTGGAAACACTGACTCTGTCCTGTCTCGGAGACAACAGTGCCACCTTATGTCTAATCATTTCTGAGCGCCTATATGTTTGCATCCCAGCTGCAGGTCCCTGCTTAATTTGCAAGGCCTGACTAGATCAGTCCGACATGGTCTCCTGGCAGTTTTTGAAGTTTTCTGTTTTGTTTCTCAAGGATTGTAAGACTTCCATTAAAAGTTCTTTACCTGGTTATAGTGAACCAAATTTTCAGCCTTGCTTCCCCAGTCATAAGCTTTGAGTTCCCCAGATTTAACGGCCTAAAACATAAATATTCACACATAAAAACATGAAGGTCAGTGTCTGCACTCAGGAATTGTATAGAAAGAACATGAAGGTTATCTGGAGAAGTGCCTTAATCCTATGTGATTAAATTAAAAACAAAGAACACACCCCAGGGAGAGGAGGTAATGTTTTACCTAGGCAATGAGACAAAGATAATTGGAGCAAAGGAAAGCCGAACTGATTATAGCCTTTGTTCTTCTAAAATATTCATGCTACCATTCCCACACCTCCTTCTCTCTACCATTCCCACGCCCACTTCTTCTCCACAAGGTTTCTTAGATCTTACATTTTCACCTACAGATTATGGCCAGAAGCAGGAGCAGACGCCATGTACTAAAATGGAATAATACACAGGTGGCCAGATTTTTAAAAGGTAAACATCCAAGTGTGCTGGATTTAATCCAAATTGGGAGTTGCACATGCACATTGGACTGTATATTTCTGAAAATCTGGCTCAGTGCTGCAGGTCACTATTTAAACAGTAAAGATTTTTTTCCTCCAAAGCTGCTGTTTTGGTGTATTTGCATTGCAGCAAAGCAACTATGAATTCATGTCTCACAAAGCCATCTTAGCCATTTTGGTAACAAGAAAACTTAGCCAGTTCTGGGAACAAGCATGGATCATAGCAAAAAAATATATATATATATCCAGGCCAACCACTCAGGTGCACACACATTTTTTGCCTAATATTACACAAAAACACCTGTTAAGTCTGGCAAGGTAACCCCATGCAACTAGCCATGAGAGTTACAAACGCAATGCTGGTGATGCAAGACACCCTTAGATATTAATACATTCTGTTGCTTTGGCCTAAGGCTCCCAGCCCAATTTAATTCCCTTGAAATTATCTCAGTTGTATAAATTACCATTTTAAGAGCTCAATTCTGCCACACTTGCTCAGATTCAATAGTACCTTACTGCAACTCAATGGGAAGTACTACTCGGGGAGAAAACACTCTCTACATTAGACATCTCTCAACATTTCCCATTTACTAGTAGCAACAGTAAGAAAGGTTGAGAAAAAAAAAGTTGAGTGTAGACAAAGGAAGTGTGTGGGCCAGAGATTTATGTAATTTCATGGGCCAGGGTGATCACAGCCCTCCAGGAACTAATGGGGTGATTAGGCAAATTCACTCAGGTTATAACATCTCCAGTGAGGTACTACCACCTGGAAAGGCTAGCATATACAGGTTCAAACTGGATTCTCCAGAGACCAGCAGACAAAAAAAGGAATTTTGGAATAATAGCCTGACTTTAAGCTGACACAGGGTCTTCTTTCTGATCTAGCATATAAACAGAACCTCCAATCCAAAATGTTGGAAGGACTGACACCTGTCAGAGCCCTTGTTGGAGTTGTGGGGGGAGGGAGATCTCTTGTAAGCTTATTAGCATGCATGTAGGTTCTTTTAATTGTTTGAAGTCTGTTTTATCTGTAGTGCTTTCACCTTAAGAATAAATATGCTTGCTTACACAGGGCTGCATGGTAACTTATAACTGGGGCAATTAATCTGTTCAAAGCCTTCGGAGAGAAAGCAGCACACATGCAGGCCTGTTAAGGCAGTCCGGCTTGCTGGGGAATTCACAGTGCAGCAGGGAACTATGCAGTGCTGAAGTACCCCAGTCAGCAGTGAAAGAGATGTGGGTCTCTGCCAGAGATGGACAGCTGAGGGGCCAGGAGCCTAGAAGGGGTGCCCTTGCTGGACCACAGAGGACAAATATAGGTGCAGTTGCCCTGAACTCTGACAACCACATCAATGGAGTTTTCCTTTAAAAAAAAACTTACTTAGTACCATTTACAGTCCAAAAGTTTTCAGAAACAGCAGTCTAAGAAACATGAATTTTTAAAACCATTTTTCTTTATGAGCCTCTTCCCACTTCATTCCAGGCCTGATACCTAACCCATGGAAGCTCAAATTACACTTATCAGACCAACACACGCGTTGTTTAGAAAACCAGGTTGACTCTAAAGCTGGGAGGGGTGGGGGGGGAAAAGAGGGGGAAATCGATCTAAGTTACGCAACTTCAGCCACGTGAATAATGTAGCTGAAGTCGACATACTTAGACCTACTCACCATGGTGTCTTCACTGCAGTGAGTTGACTGCTGCCGCTCCCCCATTGACTCTGCCTGCACCTCTAGCGGCGGTGGAGTACAGGAGTCGATGGGAGAGCGCTCGGGGGGTTGATCGCTGCCCGCCGATCCGGCGGGTAGTGTAGACATACCCTAAGATTGTATCTCACTTTGAGGAACCTATGCAGGGACCAGCAGCTGCTGATTCCACAAGAAATTTCTTCCCGCAGCATAGGGGTACTGCACCTGCTTTATACCACCGAGATACAGCCACTTAAATTAATTGCAAGTATGTGGACTGCAAAGTGTAAAAAAACTAACTATCCACAATTTGTCCACTTGCCCTGCTACAGTATGTAGCTCATGGTCAGAAACCAAGGTTACTGAAGGAGAATCAAATGTTTGTTGTAGCAACATGATCTCTGATATGGTAGTTTAAAATGCAGGCAGAAATACTGTCTGCTGATCTGGAGCACCTATTATTTTGCACTCATGCAAAAATATATGCCGCATCAAAAGGGAAATTTTTTAAAATTAAAATTGCAGTGATTAACACCTGCTGTTCTGACTTTCTCCTTAGTAGTCCCAGAGTCTTATCAAAGTTGTGCTACCATAGGATCATTTTGACATTTTTACCCCTATTTCACTGACAGCGATATTTTATAAACAAGTTAGGTTAACAGGCACTTTAGATTTCAGAAGCTCTACCTGGCTCCAATGGATCATGTTTTGTACAGATGTCCCAGCAGGGCAATGTGTTGAATACACGTCGACTCGGCTCTGCAACAGCAACATAGTTAATCACAATTTTCATCTATTAATGTGCATCAGTTCCATCCTTTATTGCTTTTTGCACAACTGAATAGAGTAAGTTTAAAAGAAATAAGTTCTGATCAGAAAGTTAAGACTAGACTAGTATACACAAACTGGATAGGATGCTTAAGTCTTGCCATTAATTGAATAACACTGTCAACTTAGTTTAAACTAAATTTGATCTAAAGCTGATGTTTTATTTTACTGTAAAATTACACTTAAAAAAAAAACACCAAGAAACTGAATCTGACTAGGAATGTTTCAATGTTTTGTTTTGATCTTTTTTTAAAAAAAAAAAAAAAAGCAGCATGGTTGTGAAGGAAGAGATGTAAGCCTTCTCCTAACACATTGAGAAAAACAAAGAACGGTATTGCTCAAGTTAATAAAAGTTACTAGATGCAAAAGTGAAACTAACCAATCTAGCTTTGTTTCCCAGCTGAATGAAATGCAAACTAAATTTAGAAAAACCACTTCAGTTTCAATATTCTATGGTGTCCTTAATACAAGGATTTTGTCATAAATATTGACTTTAAACTTAACAGTAATATGCATGAATAATTTTACATCAATTTACAAGTTTAAAAATGTTAATGTTAGCAAAAGTGTTCCAAGTTCTTCTAAGTTTTAAATGCCTCCCTACACTATACTAGTTTTGACCAACTGTTTAGCCTACTTCTACTAACATAGGCTGTTGCTCCAAATAAGCTTCATTTATTTTCAGTTTAAAAATACTGTCTTCTGAAAGCTGAATCCTCAGGCAGAGTAAAGTCTAAATCCATATTTAGAACTATGCAAAATTGTGTGTGGGGAGTGGGAAATTCTGCACACAAAATTACCATTTTTCCCATTTCATATAAATTATGCCAAATTCAGATTTTCAATCAAAATTTTTTTAAATTGAGGGTGAAATCCTGGCCCTATTGAAGTTAATGACAAGACATCAATTGGGCCAAGTTTCAAGTTGTGACTTTGCCCAAATAGTGGTTTTTTTTTTTTTTTTTTTTTTTTGGACAGAAGAAATGATTTTGCAGATTTTCCCACAATATTTTAGCATAGTTGCGTGGAAAAGCAAAAACTTAACATTGAAATTAAAGTTGGGAATATTTTGCACAATCTTCCCCATATCAGACTGTCCTCATTTCATTGCTCCTTCAGGTGGCTTGATCCCACTGGAATAGCCAGTTGGATTCGCACTCACTCTCTCTCTCCATGTGCTCACCAAACCCAAAGCTCTTTATGTCTATTAGAACATAGAAGCAGCCATACCGGGTCGGCCTAAAGGTCCATCTAGCCCAGTATTCTGTCTTCCGACAGTGGCCAATGCCAGGTGCCCCTGAGGGAATGAACTGAACAGGTAATCATCAAGTGATCCAACCCCTGTTGCCCATTCCCAGCTTCTGGCAAATAGAGGCTAGGGACACCATCCCTGCCCATTGTATTCTTACTATTGTGTCCCGACCACCGTCCCCAGCTTACAGTACTACTCCACAAACTGATTCTAAAAAAGTGGCATTGTAGGATTCCATGTTTATTGTCTGTCACAGATGTCCAGAGCAATGTAGAGAGATGTTCTGCTATTTGGTGTTTGTTTGTTTAAACAAAAACCCAACTCTGGAAACTCAACCTTGAGACTGGAAATTTCAAGCTGGATTCTTTCCTTCTGAAGTTTTATCGCCAGCAACAAAAGGTTCCTCAGGCCAAATTATGCCCTCATCAAAACATTCGTCTCTTCAGTCTTTAAACTGCATCTTCAGCGACACCTCTGCAACAACATTTCCTCCAATGTATTTGCACAGGTGTAACCAATTAGGACTTGGTAGATGATTTTTTACATAAATCACTTTTCAGACTAAAAATACACTTAACCAATTTGTCCACAACACACCTGCACTGTGTCCTGTGCTTCAATCTTCATTTGGAACACAGAACAACTACAGACTTTTAAAATGTACAAATTGACTCCTAGAAAAGCATTTGCATATGTCCACTATGAGATCTGGAAATCTCAGCAGCTCTCACACATGGATGCATCCCAAGCTGTGAAGTCTAATCTTTACTTCTCCCTTCTTTCCATGTTCTATACCATTAATTCTCTTCGCCATCTATCCATCTTGCCCATGTTCTTCCCACAGAGTACAAAAAAATTGTTTCATCCTTTCAATCCATTTTTAAATTTAGTTCTATGTATTTTATCAACTAGACTGTGCAGCTGGACTCCTGTCTATAGCAAGAAAAGATACTCATTCAAACTCTCAAGAACTAGAAGGTATTAAACTTTTTTTAAGTTACATATGGAATATAAACACTCTTAGATCATAGTCTATACTCTTAAAAGTCACAAGGAGATAATTGCTAGGTGTATACAGAACATACCATGTTTAAGTTTTTCTCATCAAAGCCGCATATAAGAAAGAAGAAATTGCCACAAAGGTCATCAAGTAATCTGTGGGTACAAACATGAGTGGCAAGCCACTTCAGCAATGAATTCTGAGGAAGGAATTGCTTCTTTCCAAACATATCCTGCAAAATAATAAGCACATACACATAACAGAAGGCTATTTGCTTTTACTCATACTATAGGTTTCTTGGGATAACTACTTAAATTCATAAAAGAAAGATTGTTTTGTATTACACTTTCTCACCATGTGAGCCTAGATCATTAATTTGAAGTGAAATATATAATCAGTACCTTTGCTATCAAGTTAAAAACAGAAGAAATTATTCATGGTTAACCAAAGAAAATCCATGAAAATGCAAACTTTTTAAAAAGTTCTTATCAGTTTTGTATTCATTATGTCAGAGAGGGCATGTCAGATTTCTGCTAAAGGTTAAATATTTTAAGCTACATCTGCTTAAGTTGGTATGTTTGATATTTGAAGCTTCCTCAATTCAAACCATGTGAATAAAACCAAGCTTGCATTGTGGTGGCAGTTTCCTCTTGCAAGATATTATTTTTAAAAAGTCCAAGGGTTTGAACATGATCTACAGAGTGCTTTTTACTCACACTGACACAGCACAAAGACTATGACCCATCCACTGGTTTGTGGTTAACTGGGTGGTTCCACAATAGCTCACTGTGCAAGCCACCATGACTGGGTCAAGTTTCACAGGACCATGTGAACAGGTGCATTTTTTCTATAAAATAAAAGCCTCTTATCTGGGAACACTGATCAGCCTATTATTCTAACTAAGCAGCCATCTTCACTATGAGAAGAGGGACAGAGGGAGCTGGCAGGTGTTATTTGGCCTCATCTCTATCCGCCTGAGAGGAGAAGGGGAACCAGTGGCAGTTACAATACACAAAAATATCTATTCAAGATATGTCCTGTGGTTAGAAAAGGTACATTGTGCCTAACAGAGATAAAGTGACACTTCCAATATCTAAAACCTTGTCTGCCATAACTCACATGGCTCCCCCTCCTTCTCCCACCAAAGGATAGCTGGTGAATAGAGGTGGGCAGTCCAGCCCCTGTACACAGCACACAACAGCTAGTGAACAACTTCACTGTATCCTCCTCCTGTTTCCTCTCACTCTTTGTTTGACAACTTGTGTGAAAAATAAGAATTTCAAATTTCAAGTCTGAAAAAGCACCATAGTATTTTTCACCAGCCCAACTCTCCTTAATAGGAGCAGCATTTATGCTAATACTCTCCTGCCCAAGAAACAGGCATTAGATTAAACAGGGTCTCTAGGAGACATTCCAATTTAGTGGAGTAGAACATATGAGTTTATCAATGGAAAAAATCTATTTAAGGACTGAAGTACACAGAGGTGACTGCTAAATAAATCTGCAGAAACTGATGACAAATGAAAAATACTCCATATAAAGGAAGAAAAGGATATCACATTACTACTAAATGTGATATCTAAAATTGACCAGTGTATATATTAATCATGGCTTTTTGGCAAAACAAGTCCTAGACCCATGTGCAAATGAGTAAATATAATACTGATTCTTTCAGGTCAAGCCCTATTTATAAGATACATTTTAAGCTTTAACTTTCCCCTAGCTTCTCCTGTCATGTATTTAAATTTCTCAGCCTGATAGTTCAATTTTCCCATTTTGAAGGCTCTCAACATCCTTGTGTATGGGACATCAAAGATAAATATTAAGCATTTTCAGATAGTATGTGATCCACCAACATCAAAACAAATGTTTGCTTTTACATTATTATTCACCTTTTTTTTTTTAAATGCGGAGCATGGGGTGCAATGGGCAACATCAAATGCATTTTGTGGTCACTGGGCCAAATTCTACTCTCAATTATGCAGTTATCAATATGGAAAACCATCACAGAGCAACTCTGGACATATATTGATACAAGGTCAAAGTTTGGCTTAGAATTCATGTCATGCATGTTAATCTTCTGTACAAGTGTGTACATAGCAAGAGAGGCACATTCATATGCATTAAGTCTACACACAGTTTTATTTATAATCTCTACTAAAACCATTTTAAATGGAAAAGAAATATTTTCACTTAGGTTTAAAACAAATATCTTGACTGAAATACATACCTTGAGAAGCAGCTCTGGAAGCACTCCAAGTTTTGTCAGAGGGCTAGTGGAGAACTTGACTGTGGCTACAGGTGCCAATGCAAAAAACATTTTTATTTTCTTAGCCAGCTCTGGCATAGTTGAAAATGCGATGAAAGCTGTTAAAAATAAAAAAAAATAAGACTTCTTAATAAGACAATATTTGACAGAAATGAAATCAGAATTTTAGGTAGGCATGTTTTAATTATAGAGTGTAGTATGTTTTAAGTTCTGAATTTGGAAATTGTGTATGTGTTCAAAGAAGAATGTGAATTAGCATCAGTAAATACTGGTTTGGTTAAATACTGGTCTTTAAATACTGGTTTGGTTAATTAAAGGTTGACCTGAGCATCAATTTAAATTTTAGTTGGAGTGATGAATCTATGATTTTTCATGTACACTTTCACAACTCTTTAGAATATTTGTTTTTACAGAAATTGGATGAATAGCGTAGTCTATTAACTTAATTTACTGTTTTACAAGTTTTCACTTCAAATAAATAGGTGAAAGTTAATTCTCTAGCCTTTTAGTATTAATGAGGATACAAAACAAACTGTACTAGTAAATCTGTATTTTATCATTATTTAACCAAAAGTGCGCAAATCTCTCTTTTAAAACTGTATTTAAATTAAATCTCTTAACATACCTATAGTGGTACCCTGTGAATGGCCAATGTAATAGATTTTCTCCTGTCCAGTTTTATTCACAATAAAGTTTATAGTGGCAGGAAGGTCGTATTTAGCCATTTCATCAAAACTATAACAAAGACAAGAAGATGGCTATATAAATAAAGCTATAAAATTTCCATATCAACATATGCAGAGAAGAATTACTGAATGGAACTTTAGTACATTGAAAATTAGTCAGCTAAGAATGAATAAAAACTTCCAAAGGTTGATTCTGAACAGCCAAACTCTGACCAAGATTCACTTAGGGCTTGATCCTGAACCACTCAAGTCAATGGGAATTTTCTCATTGATTTCAATGAAGGCAGGATCAGGCCATTATAGCAAATGTATAGTTTCTCATACTGATAGCATATTAGCACATATATAACCAGGATAAAAAATTGCAGTGGCACAATCTTGTTTAATCTGTTACTGAAGTGGGGTAGTAGATAGAGCATAAGAACGCCCATACTGGGTTAGACCAAAGGTCCATCTAGCCCAGTATCCTGTCTTCCGACAATGGCCAATGCCAGGTGCCCCAGAGGGAATGAACAGAACAGGTAATCAGCAAGTGATCCATTCCCTCTCACCCATTCCCAGCTTCTGGCAAACAGAGGCTAGGGACACCATCCCTGCCCATCCTGACAAATAGCCATTGATGGACCTATCCTCCATGAACTTATCTAGTTCTTTTTTGAATCCTGTTATAATCTTGCCAGTGGATGTTGTGAAGGCCAAGGAGTTCCACAGGTTGGCTGCACTGGGTGAAGAAATACGTCCTTTTGTTTGTTTTAAATCTGCTGCCTATTAATTTCATTTGGTGACCCCTAGTTCTTGTGTTATGAGAAGGAATAAACAACACTTATTTACTTTCTCCACACCAGCCATGACTTTATAGACCTCTATCATATCCTCCCTTAGTCATCTCTTTTCTAAGCTGAAAAGTGCCAGTCTTATTAATCTCTCCGTTCCATACCCCTAATAATTTTTGTTGCCCTTTTCTGAAGCTTTTCCAATTCCAATATATCTTTTTTGAGATGAGGTGAGAGCAGGGTGAAATTTTTCAGATGAACAGTTTATTTGCCAAAAAAAAATGCAGATGTGGCCAAAGGAATTTCAGGGGGAGGGATGGGAGGGAGTCCTCCCTCACAGTCTTTATCCCAGTGCTTAGGGCACGGTCCTGATATGTGGGAGACTCAGCTTCAAACCTCTGCTCTGGAGCAGCAACTGGAACAATTAGCTTTCCCCGCATCCCAGGAGAGTGCCCTACCACCCGCTTATGGGCTATTCTGAGGTGGGTGTCTCAATCCCTCCTCTTGAAGGGGTTTCACTTTGTATAAAAGTACATGAATAGCCATTGGGCCAGACAGACAGCGGTAGAGAGAATGACTATATCCCAGTGGTTAGGGCACTCTCCTGGGAAGGAGGAGACCTGGGTTCCAGTCCCTGCTCCACAGCAGGAATTCAAACCTGAGTCTCCCACGTTCCAAGACAATGCCCTGACCACTGGGCTAAGGGGGAAACCCTACTGCCTCAGCTGTGAATTGAGACCTTTATTACCTTTTATTTTTTAAAAATGCCTGGGAACAAAACATTTCATTTGACCCAAAAGGAAATTTTTCCTACTTTTTCACTTCACCAAAAAATGTTTCAGTTTGACCCAAACCAACCCCTACCCTCTCGCCTCCAAGAACTGCCAGCAAACCAAAAATTCAGGGATCGGCACAGCGCTAATAGTGGGGGTATGGCATCATGGAGGAGGGAAAGGAGTGGTTCCTGTTGACAGCATGTATAACATGTAATAAACAGCACTCCTCAGAAATGAGCTCCAGCTACCTGAAACCCCAGAATTCTTCTTGCTTCACTGTATAGTGTTTATGCTTTCTGGACCAAGTGTTCCCCCTGCTGTTTCCCATCCAAACATCAAAGCCAGCATCTGCCAGCATAAAGCCCAGGCTGTTGTTGTCCAAATTTGTGATCCAGTTACTACCATCTGCAAGCAAACCATGCTGCAGAAAAACAGCAGGCTTGGGACCTGAAAGATAAAGCATTATACGTAGTTAAAAATCAAAGCTTCATGTTCTCCTCACACTGAAGTCCTGACAAACTAATGAGTATTCAATATTTGCTTCATCTCTATATTTGAGTGGTTAACCTATAGGACTGTAAGATTAGCAACCTTTATGTTACTCACAAGGTCTTAAATTCATGCATTGTAATCTTCCACAATAGCAGGGTTTTAAAGAGTTATTTTATTGTAGTTATGGGTTTAAAAACATTACATTAGGTTCTTAACTAGAGCAAAAGGGACCTAGTATTTCTCATACACAAAAAAGCAGGTTTGCAACAAGCAAACCCAAGAAAAGCAGGAACTACAGCAAGAACATAGAGAGCTATTTGTTCCCAGCGTTTATAATTCCTGGGGATAAGAGGCCTGATCCTGGAGGCATGCTAGCTTTTCTTCATTGTCCTTGCTCCCCTCCTCTTCCCACAAGGCCGTGGAAGGCCTTCCCATAGGTGACTTCCAGGGATCAGGCTTTTTAGGCTAAGACAATGACAAACTAAGATGGTGTACCACTGTCTTTAGCATCAGATCCCCTTCCACTATGTATCAACATTAACATGTGCTGCAGGTTCTCACAATGCGTAGGAGCACGGGAATGGAAACTGGGAATGGAAGGCGAACTTACTTTAATACCTTCCATTCAACTGTTCATGTTGATTTTTAGCACTCATTAACAAACTGAAAGTCATTGCCATTTTTCTTTAACACAACAAATTTCCCTTACAGTTTTTGCAGCTGTGGAACCGTAGACTGTTGTGGACTTTCGCTCCAAAAGATAATATCATACATAACTGCAATTAATCCTATTCACATTTGTCAGATATTGCAACAGAAACATTATGAAATATTATGCACTATAAATCCTGTTAGCTGTAAATAAACACTGTTTGGGAAAAGATACCAGGTCTGTAATGAAGTCAACATGAACTTTGAAGTCTTCATTCTTCTTCTAGGGGATCATACTTGACAAAAGTTGCTCAGTAATCCTTGTTTTTAAAAATTAAAAGTGCTTTACAAAACATGAACTTTGATACTGCTTCCTTCTCCACCCCCTCATCACTCTTTTGAGACAGGAAACTTCACTCTATTTGCTTATGTTACAGATGAAAGGTTCAATAAAAAACCCACAGAAGCATAATCTATCTTCACTTTGTGGATTTCTCAGGATTTTTTAAGCACAAATATAAAACTAGCCAATTTGACTAGCTTGCCTTGTGCACCAAACTGTCTACCCCTATGCTCTTTGAGACAGTAGTTAGGGCAAACATGCTTAAGAGACATCAAATCAACCATTAAGGACAGACAGATTTTTTTGCCTTTGGTAGAAGAGGGTCTTTTGCCATAGTATTTGTTCACACCTGCAATTATAGAATATTTGCTTCCCCCCTGTTTCATAAGATACATATGTATGCATCATACATCTTCAGCTTTTTAAGCTCCATGGGTTCAGACTCTACCCTCAGATATAAGCATACAACTCCCATTGAAATAAATGAGAGATGCATGCATGCCTCAGAGGACAGAATTTACCCCAAGGGACATTAAACAAATTGATTCTGACTGAATTCATCCATTGCTATTCAGGTCTACAAGCATATTAGTTTCCACAGCATAGTAATATAGCAGATCTAAGACTGTTTCCTGCACATGCTTCTCTTCTTCTACATCCATTTTAATCTTATTTTCAAAACATTCTATAGCTTAGGCCTTGCCAGTACCTTTGGCCTCATTCCCTCCTATACACACTCCCACCCTCTAAACTTCTCCCAAGCGTCTCTTCTGCAAACTCCCTTTGTCTCCACTTTTGATTTCCCCTCTCCTAATTTTGTGCCTTCTTTCATGCCACTCTTTATGGCGTGGACATCCTCCTGCTTAGTATATGCTAATAATTCTCCTTCCCTGTCAAACCACTTCTGAAAGACCAATTCTGGGGAGGCAACAAGCAACAACATCCACATGGCCCTCTGTCTTGGCTTTGGTTATGTTAAGCTGTACTGCACCCATTTCTTTAGAAACAAGATTTTTTTATTATTATTACAATATTTTACATACTATAAATAGCTATGTACAATATGGTGCTATAGTAATTATTACTTTGCTTTATAGTTTACTATAAAGACAAGGAGAACAGCGTGCTAGAATCTAAAATCAGCTTAGTCTAATTCCTATTTCCATGCAGAAATCAGAAGAGCATTGGGATTTTTGTTTGTTTTGTTTTGGGGGAGGGGAAGTGTCTTTCTGGTTTGTTTTTCAACAGAAGAGGAACAAGACCTGCCCCTACCTTTAGTGTTAGTCAAAGTTTTTAAAACAAAAAAAGTTTAAAAAATGAAAATTTTGCAACAAAACAGACTTTAGCACATTCTTACTTAAAAAAAAATTACTATTTCTCATTTATCATAAAATGAGTTTTTTCAGTACGTGTAAAATTTCAACACAAAAAAAGTGTCCGTTTTAGATCCTACAAAATACAAACCACTTACAAATTGAATTTTGGGAGGAAATCCCTTCCCCCCAATAATCTACCTACTCTAACATAGTCTGCACTGTTATTTTCCTTTATAAGTAATTGTAAAC